TGAGGAGAAAGGAAAGCGAGAGGATGAAGAGGGAGGCGTTCTCGCTAAACCTTGAGAAGATTCTATTAGTCAGGATGGTCGAGGAAGAGGAGTAGGAGTAGTAGTAGTAGTAGTAGGAGGAGGAGTTGGTTGAACCCCGGAGTAACTGTAGCCAGGAGGAGGAGGAGGAGAACGAGGAGGAGGAGGAGAACGAGGAGGAGGAGGAGAACGAGGAGGAGGAGGAGAACGACGAGGATGAGGAGAACGAGGAGGAGGAGGAGAACGAGGAGGAGGAGGAGAACGAGGAGGATGAGGAGGAGGAGGGAGAGGAGGAAGAGTTAGGGAAATCGACGGCGTGGACTTTGGAAAACCCATTTGGCTTTGGAGCCAGGGGGTACAAGGGTAGTACGATGAGGAAGAGGAGTGGGGGGAGTAGGAGAGAGGAGGAGGAGGAGGAGGAGGAGGAAGAGGAGGAGGAGGAGGAGGAGGAGGAGGAGGAGTTGAAGGAGGTGAATGAGGAGAGAGGAGAACGAGCAGAGAAGGAAGATTAGGAAGGAGAAACCCCGGGAGGATGAACCTGGACAGAAACCTCCGATCTCTCGAATCAGGAGGAGGATCATCAGCAGCAGCAGCAGGAGGAGGAGGAGGAGGAGGAGGAGGAGGAGGAGGAGGAGGAGATGGTTGAATTCTTGAACCCTGGAATCGTTCCCGCAGTGAGTTCTGTTCTGTTGTTGCCCTCCACTGCGCGCCAAGTGTGTGCGAAGGGAGCTTATATGTACTCGGGGCAACTTTGAGATACAGCGACTGATTGTGTCCAGGTTCATCCTCGCCGAATGTATAATGACGTTAGGTTCGCCACGTGCTGCTGATGGTTCCGATTGGCGAGACGCAGCCCTACCTACGCGTCTTCGCCCCAATAGAACCTCGTAAGGTGATTATGCCTGTGTATTTGGGGCAACTTTCAGTCTAAATACAGCGACTGATCGGGAGGATGAACCTGGACCGCAAGTTGGCCCAGGATGCATTTGACTGATGGATAAGGACTCACCACGCCGCCCATTGTTAGCGATACCCTGAGAAAAAAATGTCGACTTCACTCACACCCCTGGACAGAGTGTCTGTCCAGGTTCATCCTGGTGTTTGTGTGTATGTGAGCACGAGGAAGATGATAATGATGATGATGATGGTGATGATGGTGATGATGATGATGATGATGAGGAGGAGGAGGAGGAGGAGGAGAGGAGGAAATGATGATGCTGATGATGATGTGTATGTTTTGGTTGAAGATGATGATGATGATGATGATGATGAAGAGGAGGAGGAGGAGGAGGAGGGGAGGAAGAGATGATGATGATGATGATGATGATGATGATGATTATGAGGAGGAGGAGGAGAGGAGGAAGAGATGATGATGATGATGATGATGATGATGATGATGAGGAGGAGGAGGAGGAGGAGGAGGAGTAGGAGAAGGAGGAGGAGGAGGAGAAGGAGGAGGAGGAGGAGGAGAGAAAGGTTATCGTTCAACTATTACCGTCTTCACCCGAATAGAACGGCTGGTCAGTATACCTGTATTTGGGTCAATTTTCAGTCTAGATACGGCGATAATGACCGGGTTTTCTATTCGGGGGTGAAGGCGATACCCTCTGGCATCGTTGTCATCCCCGCCATCATCCGCAAGCAGCAACAATACGAATATTATCACTTCTTTAATTAATGATTTAATTTAACGTAATTCAGGCTGGTCAGTATACCTGTATTTGGGTCAGTTTTCAGTCTAGATAGGGCGATAATGACCGGGTTTTCTATTCGGGGGTGAAGGCGATACCCCTTGGCATCGTCGTCATCCCCGCCATCATCCGCAAGCAGCAACAATACGAATATTATCACTTTGATTTAATTAATGGTTTAATTTAATGGTTTAATTTAACGTAATTCATTTAATTAATTCATTTAATTTAATG